ACTACTACAAACTCAAATCATACAAATTCAATAGTCAATTTTATTTTTTTTATAATCAATAAAAAAAAAAGCATAACTTGTAAAAAATATAATTTAACAAAAAAAATATACTTAACATGTAAAATATATAAGATTAAATTCAAGTTATTGGGCAACTCAGATATCAAGAAATATATTAAAAAAAATATGTTTAACATTTAAAATATACAAAATTAAATTCATATATAAATAGGAATTATACAAATTTAATATTTAGTGAACAACACAAAACAACAATATTTATTAAATAATCTAAATCTAAATACCTGAGAAAAATGATACAAAATTACAAGCGAGAGAAATGACACAAAATTATAAGCAATATTATGAATACGAATCATACAAATTCAATAGTTAGTGAACAACACGAAAAAATAATCTTTACTAAATAATCCAATACTAAATAATGTTTTAGTTTAGGAAAATATACTAAGAATATACATAACTGAGAAGAATGATATACAATTAAAAGAACTACTATAAACTCAAATCATACAAATTCAATAGTCAATTTTATTTTTTTCCATAATCAATAAAAAAAAAAGCATAACTTGAAAAAATCTTATTTAACAAATAAAATATGTTTAACATGTAAAATATACAAGATTAAATTAAAGTTATTGGACAACTCAGATATCAAGAGATATATTAAAATAAATATGTTTAATATTTAAAATATACGATATTAAATTCATATACAAACACGAATCATACAAATTTAATATTTAGTGAATAACACAAAACAACAATATTTACTAAATAATCTAAATCTAAATACTCGAGAAAAATGATATAAAATTATAAACGAAAGAAATAATACAAAATTATAAACAATATTATGAACACAAATCATACAAATTCAATATTTAGTTAACAACACGAAGCAACAAACTTTACTAAAAATCCAATACTAAATAAAGTTTAGTTTAAGAAAATATACTAAGAATATAAATAATCAAGAAGAATAATATAAAATTAAAAACACTACTATAAATTTAAATCATACAAATTCAATAGTCAAGTCGTATCTTTTGGAAGTCGGTTGAATCTCTGATAGTTATATTTAGTCATTTGACAACATCGGTAGACTTAGTTCATTTATGAGAGTATTGTTTTAATTTTCATTCTATTAGTTATGAATTATGTTATTATTTAGATAAAGTTGATTATGAATGTTAAAATCGTAGATTTTAAATCGAAAACATAACATTGAATATTTTCAACAGATATATTTTTTTCAGATGTTTGAATTATTATGTTTCAATAGTTATAACATAATTTTCGTGACGTAACAATTTAATGTGGAAAGATATGTTATGCATGTAAATTGATATTATAAAAAATATTAGCGGACTCATCTTGTTTACCGTTCACTACAATATTGTATTTTATTTTACATTTATGTATAGACAAATATTTATAACTAATTTATGAGTAATACCGTGCCTTCAAGTACAAATAATTGTTAATCTATCTATATACTACTAAATGTACACAACTTTTAAAAAAAAATTAATTTTCTTTTTTACCCTCTAATATTTCTTAATTATTCAAACTACCATAAATATTTTTTTTTTAATTTTTTTTTTTGGGAGAGAGGGAAAAAAGGCTTGAACCATTGACTTCAAGAAAATAAAACTTTTACAAAGTAAGGAGTATCATTGGATCAAAAACAAGTAGGAGCAATGACCTTTTATCTCCTTCCTTTTTCAACTCAACAGTCACCACACTTTATATTTTTAATAAATTGAAGTTAATATAGTAATCAAAGAAAATAAATAGAGTAAATTACTAATCACAATTTCTTGTTCTTTTGTATTCCAATAATCAAAACCCATCTTTTCGGTCATCCATTCATGTTCTCCTTCAAAACTTTTATTTTTTTTTCCTTTACACTTCAATACAACAGTTAGGTCAGTTTTCATTTCCACGGGAGTTGCTTCACTTTATACACTGCAGGTTTCTTCCTTCACCTCTTTGATTGTCTCTCTCTCCCTCTCTCTCTCTATTGCCCACTACTACAAGTCTCTCTCTCTCTCACACACAAAAATATGCTTGGATGATTAACATCAAATTGAGGTTCTTATTGAATCGGCACAAATTCTAATCCTAAGATTGAAAGAGATTCATGAATCAAATCCAATGAAGAAGAATTAGGTATGTTTGTTTGGTCATTCTGATTTTTCTTCTTGTTGCTTGCATTTGAGTTCGATTATTTGATGTTAATCTTAATAGGCCTCATCATGTTCGTCTCTATCACGTAGTTACTTTTGTTGTTGATTTTGTGTTCTCCGTTCTCTTCCCGTCTTTCCTCCACAAAACCGAAAGAAGTCAAAGCGGGTTCTGTGTGTATCTCATTAAATCTTTTCTTTGTCTCCATGGTAGGTGAGGAACTATGATCCACATGCCAATAATGTTAGATTGGGTCGGCTATGTGTTTGATTAAATTGGATTGGGCTAAAATAAATTCAATTTATTTTTCACTCACATAGTAAATGAGTTATAATTGGTTGAGTTTATAACGGGTTAAGTTAAACTCATTAACCTATAAAATAATTAAAATTTTTAATAGACACATTAGTACACCAATACACACATACATTAGTAGTACACCAAAATGCAAACATACACACACACTAATATACCAAAACACATACAAACTAATACACTAAAAATATACATACTAATACACTAAAATATACACTAATACCTAAAAAATACACACATATAGACTAACACAAAAACTAAAACACCTTTAATATAAAAAAAATACACACATATTAGGTCGGGGTTAATTGTGGGTTATGGGTTGGTCTGTGGGTCATGGGTCATCTCGTGGGTCACGGGTCATGGGACGACCAATGGGTCATGGCATGGGTGAGGGTCGTGGATCATGGATCAACCCGCATGTAATGGGTGGTGTATGAGTGTGTGTGTTTTTTGATGTACTAATGTGTGTATGTTTTAGTATATTAGTATATATATTTATATTTTTTGGTGTAATAGTGTGTATATTTTTTAGTACATTAGTATATTTATTTAATTTTATTACTTGTGTTATTTAATCAAAAGATAAATACTCAACACAATGAGTACTCATTTATAATCTANTAAAAAAAAAAGTATAGTTTAAGTGAGAGTTTTGAACAGCTTTGGAACTCCTGTTCTATGTTCTACACTTAAAAAGCTAACGTAGACTTCAACTGAATCAAAGTATTTGCATTTGTATTATTTATCTGCATTTGAAGGGGATTCAGATCCTCTGGCTCTTTATTAGCCAAGGCTATTCGGAAGAATGCGACACCAAGTGTTATGTGTGTTACATTCGACAGCCCAACCAGTTGAATTACAAGAATGATGAAATTGTAGCATTCAATGAAGATATACAACAATTGCATGTGTTGAATGGTTTTGCAGAATTAAAATGATGATTTTAAAACATATTTGTCAATGTAACATAAATATTGTTTTGAATAGTTCTCCTACTCCTCTTCAAAAAAAAAAAAAGAATAGTTATCACTTTCTTGAATTGTATGTTTTCTTCTTTTTTTCTGGCAAAACATAGTTTACGATCGCGTGCATTCTTATTTCATGAGGACATGAATAATAAATTTCTCCATAATATTTATCACCAAAGAAAACTTTTTGATACTTAAAATAATCTATGTACAACGCACATGTGTATTAACTAATAGTAACAAAAAGTTGGTGCACTGAATTACCCAATTTCATCTAATAAGATTATTGTTGTAATACGGATATAAAGAGGAAAATCACTTTGAGCAATGAGCCAAAGGCTGACCAAACTAGGAAAAAAAACTTTTATTATGACTAGAGGTGACAATCATAATCTTACCCATTAATCCGTCCAACCCGTCCATAAATAAATAGATTGAATACTTATATTAATTAATGCAAATTTTAAATAAGTTAGATAATATGATTTATTTTAATTAAACGAATTAATATGAATTATAAATAAATATCCATTGAATTGATTATTCATATTTCTATTAAATAACATAAATAATAAAATTAAATAAATATCACACACACACTAATACACTAAAAAATATATACTAATACATCAAAACACATATACTAACATACCAAAAATACACACACTAATAGAGCACTTGTGACCCATGGGTCAACCTGTGCCCAGTGACCCAGTCCATGACCTGTGACCCATGGTCAACCCACAAACTGACCCATGGCCCACAGTCAACCCAACCCATTATGTTTGTGTTTTTTTTTATTAAATTTATTAATACAAGTGAAAAATAAATTAAATTTATTTTAACCTAACCCATAACCAATCCAACCCATTTACAACCTCTAAATTTATGACCTTTTACAAAATCACGGTTCAACAAAGAAGCCATAAAAAAGTGCGAACGTCATTTGAATTATTTAGCAAGCAAGCCACTATAAGTAAGGGTGTTAAAATATAACGCGACACGTTAACATGACATAAACACGACACGAAATTAGATAGATTGATTCTTCCTTAAGCCACCCGTTTCAAAAATGAGTAGATCCAATGGGACACTATTAATACTTACTTCCACGGGTAGACAAAGCCATGCTTCAATGTCAATCCTAACCTGGAAATGTGAAGAGATTCGCTGTCCAAAGTTTTTCCGATGTTATCATTTGTCTGTGAATACAATTTAATTTTGCTGAAAGTCTTTCAGCTTATATCAACAAATTTTAAACAAGTAACCAATCTCTAAAAGTGGTGTTCAGCGATTTGTAGCTCAGCAAAATCAAGATGATTAACAGAGACGTGTTGTATCCATGTTTGTATTTAAAAGACAAAAGTGCACTCTCCAAGTTAAAGACATGCAAAACATTAGAAGAGCAAAGGAAACCAAAACTCAAGCTCAGAGTAAGACCTCAATGAACGCAAGAAATAAACCAGACAAATCCACTGTCACAGTAACAGATCCGATAGCCCATTTTACCATTTTACTTCAATACACTGCAAATAAAAACGGAAACAAAATGAACACCGAAACAAGCATGGAAGTTGACTGTGTTATGAGAAACTTTGAAAAGATTCAAAAGTGAGATTAAAAACTAAAGCCAACCTGACCATGAAGAAGATCACAACCCACCCAAAAAAACACAAGACAAGATCAGAATGCTTCTTCGATTATTTTGCTATTTACCCTTCCATGTATGAAATGGTGTTCCAAAACACATTAAGTAGGGGAGGGTTCCAAAAACTTTAATAAACCTTCTTCTAGACATTAAGAGAGATATTGAACTTACTTGTATAAATAGGCCGCGATGCCCAGTATTATACACAACAAGATAATATCGATGCAGAAATTTCGACTCGATCTCAGCTGAAACAACACCATGACTCTATTATTCCCAGTATACAAATATGCTTGAGTAAAGCTACATAGAAAAAGGAAATCTGAGTTAAATCCATCGCAGTACAATCACCTGGTTAACAGTGTCCTTAAGTCTAACATTGGTATTCTTTAGGTCAGATGTTGCCCTGTCCACCTGTAAGACGTGAAGCAACAAGCTGTGAATACTTTCACAAATCTTGCTGCAGCAAATAATTAAGCAGGGGAGGGTTCCATGTATGAAATGGTGTTCCAAAACACATTACGAGGACAAGTTAAATTCTCTGACCTTAGTGTCAATCTCATCCATCAAAGGAACTTGCCTATCCAATTCCTGCAAGCATTGCATAACATCATGAATTAGCATCCATTTATACTGCCAAGCAACAGATAGCAAAGCATAACACAGCAAACCTCGTTCATATCATGGGCCATGTTTTTCAATGTATCCAAACCTTCTGCTATGACATCCAAACCTTGGTCCTGCATACCATCAAAGATAATCATAGAGCAAATGCAGAAACCACAGCAAAGAATGCAATATAAATAACTACAAAGACATGCATGCTTGCTCCAATCAGAAGCAAGCCAAATAAACAATACACATTTACAAACAAACACATGCCTGTTTCATTTTCCGCATCTCATACTCTTGCCTAAATTGACTTGACTCTTCGGTTTGCTGGAAATATTCATCATCAAACCGTCCATCTATGATACAAGGGGGACCCATAGTGAACAACAAAATAGGTGAAAGTAAAAATTTCTATCAGTGAACCAAGTGAACCAATCACCTGAATCGAACTTGATTTCTGTACGAGAAGCTGAAGCTGTCCAGCCTCCAGTTTGTTTAGGTGCACCTGCAGTCCCATCTGGTATGGCTTGAATCCTATCAGGTAGTGCAAGAACCAAATCATTGCGGGCAGCAAATTCTTCTGTCGAAAGCCCTTTGACCTGTAAATATAATACATTACCACTGCAAAAGTCAGTCCAAAGTATTTAGGAACACTATGCAGCAAATCAAAAATTAGGAAGAAAACCACAAAAAATATAAACCATTGCAAACATAGCCTGATCAGAAACAGATGCCAGTGCCTAGGAGACAATGATCAAGAAACATGGTNCAAACCAAAAATTAGGAAGAAAACCACAAAAAATAGAAACCATTGCAAACATAGCCTGATCAGAAACAGATGCCAGTGCCTAGAAGACAATGATCAAGAAACATGGTAGAGGTAAGTCATTGTTGTTCAGAATAAGCAAATTTATTTAAATAGCATCCTCAGTCTGCAAATTTCATTTTGGTAATATTCCTCTGCAACATCAGATGAAGGAACAAGCTGTCATTCCCGAGAAACAATCACTTAACCTTGGTCCAAACTCCTAAACCCAATTTTAGCATTACGTTCATCCTTTTGAGTCTAAATGAAAAAAAACATCAGTTCCATCGGCCTTACTTTGTTGGCCCTTCCATCATGAAATCAGTTATTCAGGATATTTAATTTGCTTCCAAGATTTCTCAATGAATCACACATAGAGATATTGTTAACACAGAGTGTCAATTGTAGTTTGTATCTGTTTGATTGGCCAGCAGCTCAAAGACCACCTAAAAGGAATTTTTATAACCTGATCCATATCAGGACATAAGAAGTCCAATAGGAGAAGTTTTAAATGACAATCCATTAAAGAACACCAATACTGAGATCAACAAAAACAAGATGTTATCCAAAAGGAATTGCCAAATAGCTAAGTAGAATAGAGATGACTGCTATGGATAGTTAAACTCTGAAAAAAGAATAACTCCTTTAGATAAAAGAAGGTCCACTTTGGCAAATAATTTTGGACTATTTGCTATAGCTTGAAGAGTTAATAAAGGTAGCTTGAAGAGTTAATAAAGGTACGGCACATTCAAGTCCAATAAAATGTTGTATCCTAGAGATATTTCCCTTTCAAACCAAACAATTACAAGTACTCCTATGCACTATTGTAATTCCTAATACTGAAGTAAAATTGTAATGAGGATCCATAGAGCTCTTCCCAACAGGGCCGGCCCAACCATAAGGCTGGTAAAGCCTAGGCTTTAGACCCCACTCATAAGGAAAATGCCCCAAATTTTTGGGTACATAATTTGTCTATATTCAAAATTTAAATTTATGAAACTTTTAAGCCTTACAAAAGGCACTAAAAAATATAAGTCCAATCCAAAAATTTTAAATTCAATCATTTGGTCCCATAGTCCAGCTCATAACACTCAAAACCCAAAAAGTCAAAAGTTAAAAAAAAGAAAAAGAAAACTAACATTAAAAACTAATAGGTCATCTCATTTACTAACACTTACTCACAATCTCTCTCTCCCGCCAAAAACAAATAAAATGAAAAGTCACCAGCTCCCTCTCATTTTCACCCTCTTTTTTTCTCTCTCTATCTCTCTAGGAAAAAACAAAACAAAAGCTATACCTAAACACATTCACTATACTCTCTCTCTCTCTCTCTCTCTCTCTCTCTCTCTCTCTCTCGTAACATGCCCACTCTCTATAACTCTGGAGTTTTTTTAATTAAAAGGTTGTATTATATGTTTTAACTACGGATTGTTTGATTGTGTTTGTTTTTTTGATTATTTTGTTTGATATCTTACGTGAGGTCAATTACGTAACAAGAAAAATTAATTGAATTAGCGATATTATCAATTGAAAAAGATATGTTAGCAAAACTTGTACATAAAAACTAAATTAGTACTTTTGAGTGATACCATTTTAGGTTACGGCGCATGAGAACTAGCATTACCCGATCTTGCTCCCAGTGCCCATCCCAGTCAATTTGGTATTGGAAGGGATGGACTGAGAAATGGGTTTGAAAAAATTTTCCATCATGAATTGAATAACAAAAATGTGTAGATATAATAACTTCACAATTCTATTACATTAATTACTTGTTGTTTAACCCCATATCTCACCAAAATTGATTCGAACAAAAAGTCTACCTTCCTAATTTGAAAAAAAAAATTGCAATAACCAAACGTGGTTAGGTGTGATCTCACAAAAATCATAACAAGCATCCAAAAACAAAGAGATTCCAAAAGCAATGAAACCAGAAATTACAAGACTTAGCTACAATTAAAATAAAACACACAACTATATACACGCTTCAAATGAATATCAATAGGAATTGGAAGGAATGAAACCTTTTTCATGGCCAATCTCTGCAATTTAGGGACCTCCTCTACCAACCTGGCCTTGGTGCGACGAATCTCCGCATTAATCGCCACTACAGATGCCCTATTCTTCTCCTTAGAGGCTGCCTCAGCTTTCTGAAAAAACAAAATATTTGAATTCAATTCTAAAATCAAATCAAAAAACCTAAAAATAAGACAAGTTGAAGCTGAGATCGAGACTGACCTGAAGAGCGGCATCGATTTCGTCTTCGACGGCGGAGTATAGACGAGCGAAGGCGTCGTCACCGGAGACATTTTGGTCTTTCTGCTTGTCGACGTCGTATTTGTCGTATTTCTTGCAGATCGAGTCGACTCGAGTTAAAATGTCGATCACACTCATTTCTGGTTCTGCTCAATGTCGATCTTGTTCTCTAATTGATTGGGGAGATCACACCAATTTTCCGTTGACAGGAATTCATGAGAGAGAGAATTTGGGCCGGCACTAATGGGTTTCNAGCGATATTATCAATTGAAAAAGATATGTTAGCAAAACTTGTACATAAAAACTAAATTAGTACTTTTGAGTGATACCATTTTAGGTTACGGCGCATGAGAACTAGCATTACCCGATCTTGCTCCCAGTGCCCATCCCAGTCAATTTGGTATTGGAAGGGATGGACTGAGAAATGGGTTTGAAAAAATTTTCCATCATGAATTGAATAACAAAAATGTGTAGATATAATAACTTCACAATTCTATTACATTAATTACTTGTTGTTTAACCCCATATCTCACCAAAATTGATTCGAACAAAAAGTCTACCTTCCTAATTTGAAAAAAAAATTGCAATAACCAAACGTGGTTAGGTGTGATCTCACAAAAATCATAACAAGCATCCAAAAACAAAGAGATTCCAAAAGCAATGAAACCAGAAATTACAAGACTTAGCTACAATTAAAATAAAACACACAACTATATACACGCTTCAAATGAATATCAATAGGAATTGGAAGGAATGAAACCTTTTTCATGGCCAATCTCTGCAATTTAGGGACCTCCTCTACCAACCTGGCCTTGGTGCGACGAATCTCCGCATTAATCGCCACTACAGATGCCCTATTCTTCTCCTTAGAGGCTGCCTCAGCTTTCTGAAAAAACAAAATATTTGAATTCAATTCTAAAATCAAATCAAAAAACCTAAAAATAAGACAAGTTGAAGCTGAGATCGAGACTGACCTGAAGAGCGGCATCGATTTCGTCTTCGACGGCGGAGTATAGACGAGCGAAGGCGTCGTCACCGGAGACATTTTGGTCTTTCTGCTTGTCGACGTCGTATTTGTCGTATTTCTTGCAGATCGAGTCGACTCGAGTTAAAATGTCGATCACACTCATTTCTGGTTCTGCTCAATGTCGATCTTGTTCTCTAATTGATTGGGGAGATCACACCAATTTTCCGTTGACAGGAATTCATGAGAGAGAGAATTTGGGCCGGCACTAATGGGTTTCAAGAGAGAGAGAGAGAGAGAGAGAGGGTGCAAGCTGTCATGAATAGTTGGTTTATTTATTTTATTCAAATGTTTTTGATTTTCTAGGGCGTAAAAATTCTCCTGAATTTCCATTTCTTGTTTTCAAGCTTTTCCCGCGACTTATTTAAAAGACAAAAAAATGGGTAAAAAACTCAGCCACCTGAATTTTGATAATATTATATGGATACCTTTTAATATTTTATAAGTAACACAAAAACTACTGAGGTTTGAAACTCATGAACCCCTTTCGTCAATGTTATTAACTGAAAGTAATAATTTTATCTCAAAAAATTTTATTATTTTTATAATTGTTCTTCTCTAAATTTAGTACAGAAAAAATTAAAAATAAATTAAAATTTTAANCAATTGCTCTTCTCTAAATTTAGTACAGAAAAAATTAAAAATAAATTAAAATTTTAATAAAATCAAACAAAATTTGATTTAGTATCCAAAAAATTGATTAAATAAATTATTAATATTAATTTGATAACTATAAAAATTAATTTGAAATAATTTGATAAAGTTGAATATTAATTTTATAAAATTAAATGTCTATTTCATAAAACTAAATATTATTTTAATTTATTTTCCCCCGTAAACCAAAGGCTTTTGGATTTACCAAATAGAGATGAACGATTCTTTTAAAATAAAAAAGTGAAAGTGAATGATTGATTTAGTTTAAGTACGTGTGATCGAATCTTGACCACAAGAAAGTTTATCAAATGATATAGTAAGAGCAACTCTAATTCTGTTGAGCAAAATATCTAGTCAAAATATATTTAAATATTGTATTCTTTATTTTAGTTAGTCACTTTTTAAATTCACTCCAACCACGCTCTTTATTTTAGTTAACTAATACAACTAATTTTAACAAACTTTCAATAATATAATTCAAAAATATCACGTAGCCTAATAATATAATTTAAAATTTTCACAAATACTTACATTAATATTTTGATAAAGGTCTAAAATTAATATTTCATTATACAAAAGGGTTTTCGAAATTTGGGATAGCGAGTTTTCAAAATTTGAGTTTAAGATAAGAGAGTTTTTAGAATGGGGGGAAAGGGGTTTTTTAGAATGGGTTTCGGGGGAGGGTAGGGGGAGGTGTGTTTGGAAATTGAGGGAGGAGATTTGTAGCCGGGGGGTGGGAGATGAAGAAGATTATTTGGACTAATCCTTGGAGAAGACGATAAAGACAGAGGCGAGCAGTTTGGTGAGTTTCTTGTCCTCTCCAGATCTAGCGAGCAACAAAGATCTCCTAAATTTTAGCTAGAAAGATAACGAGCCGATTGGAATAGTTTTTTCGAGCAAGCCTCGCCGAATTAGTTAAAAATGAAGATTTAGCTAGTGGGTTAGAGATGCTCTAAGAGAGAGGATGCAATGCTATAAAAAAAAATATGTATTTAAATTTTATAGGTTAAAATATAAATTTTTACGTTTATATACTAAAAAAATTATAATTTAAGGTCAATTTTGTGTTGGTTTAATCAACACCAAATAATATTCAATAAAAACTGAATCTTAGATTGTAAATTAATATATAATTTTATCAAATTAACATTTAATTTTATCTAATTTATATTTAATTTTATTAAATTAATATTGAAATTAATTTAATCAATTTTTTTGGTACTAAATCAAAATTTGTTTGATTTTATTGAATTTTTAATTTTTTTAGGTACTAAATTTGGAGAGGGGCAATTATGAAGATAATAATTTTTTTTGAAATAAAATCATCATTTTTCGTTACCAACATTGATGGATGGAAGACGGAAAAGGTCTCCGTGNAATTTAATCAATTTTTTTGGTACTAAATCAAAATTTGTTTGATTTTATTGAATTTTCAATTTTTTTAGGTACTAAATTTGGAGAAGGGCAATTATGAAGATAATAATTTTTTTTGAAATAAAATCATCATTTTTCGTTACCAACATTGATGGATGGAAGACGGAAAAGGTCTCCGTGCAATGAGTTACAAACTTCAAGATGTCTCCATGTTATTTGTAAAAAATCAAGGGTGTCCATGTAATATTACCAAAACAGGGTGTCCGTGTTTTTTATCAAAAAAATCTTTTGCATCATTACAATGACACTTGACACCTCCAACGTTNGTGTTATTTGTAAAAAATTAAGGGTGTCCATGTAATATTACCAAAACAGGTGTCCGTGTTTTTTATCAAAAAAATCTTTTGCATCATTACAATGACACTTGACACCTCCAACGTTTGCATTAATTGTTTTGTATCCCTTCTATATTTCAATATTAAATTTATAAAAACATAACAATAGTCGAGATTGATCAAATCTTCATTTATTTTAATCAAATGGTACAAAATTTATCCCCAAAATTTTTTTTGCTAAAAAATATTATCTTTTCTACATGGCATCAAATGTCAAACAACTCAATTAAAACACTTTTTAATAACAAACAATCTTATTAATTCACTCTTATCTCTCTTTACTCTCTCTTATTTTTTATTTAAACATAAAAAATAAATAAATTATTACTTTAAAAATATAAATATTATATAATTAATATTTAATTTTTAATATTATAGAATATCTTCAGAAACAGAGTTATTGCTAGCCTTTTAATATTTTCAATATTGTAACAACAACCCCATTCCAACATTGGAAAATATATCATTAACAAGCATGATAATTTAAATATCAATATTGTCCCCTCATTCTTGATTGGGCCAAAATATTCATGTTGCTATCGAAAAATGCGAGTGAATGGAGGATTCAAATTTTTTCTAATATCTTTTTTTTTTTTGTTAATAGATCACCCACCATGAATGAGGATGGGGTGGGGAGAGAAAATCGGAAGACCAATAGGTGAGTTGTCATGACTATTAGAGTAAAAGGATGTTTTAAATACTGGTGGACAATTGTTAAAATAGGATTTTTTTTAAAAAAATATTCTGTAGAATAACTTTGACAATTGGATTTGTTTTGTTTTAATAGAAAATAAGGGTGTAATTTTGAATATTGTTTTTATTGATTTAATCATTTTGTAGTGGCAAATTTCGCTTGTCTATTAAAAATTTTCAATAGTAAATGTGTTCACAAAGTTGTTGATATAATAAAAGAATGAACTAAAAAAATATTAGTCCATATATGGCGTGGTAAACGATTAATTGACTTTTTTTGGTGGAGATAATTTCTTTGGAAAGAGTGAAATAAGCACTTTGTAATTAAATTACTTATATAAAAAGTTTTAGTGACTAAATTTTTACATTTTACGACGTGTCAATTCGTCACGAAAAACCATATTTGTTGCATGATCGTTATTTTTTGACTTCTTTTTCGAGATTGATCTTTGAACATTTTCGGGGGATTGTATGCTGGACAACAGCTCCATCAATTCCCAATGGGGCTCCGACATTGTTGAAAATTCCATAGCGTTAAAAAGACTAATCGATGTGGAAGAGTTTGTCGGTCTCATTTGGTAAGCAGGTAAGCAGACGCCAACTACTCCGAGTTCTTTCTCTTATATAGTTATAGAATTATAACTAATTGAAAACAACTATGAATTGAAGAAGACCTGAAAGTTGGGGTAGATCTTTGAGTATGGCTACTTCGAACACCTTGTCACAGACTCAGTTGAAGGACCTTGCAATCTTTGAGAAATAGGACATGCAATCATTATGATATCCCCCAAACTCTAGAGAAGGAGTAGAATTACTACTTCCTATAATGAAGTGGTTTGTTTCATGATCGAGAATATTGATATTTACAATTTGAAAAACGAGAATTTTGAGAAATTATGAGGAACATAACACAAGGAAAATCAATCTGGGACTAACCTACCTGAGACTACTGGCATGTGATGAGGAGGAAGGGATATGATAGTATGATTTCATTCCCTTATTGCAGCATTAGAACTCTAACCCAAATGTTCCACTAAGTTACCACAATCAATGGATCGACCTGTTGTACAAGAATGGAATGAAGAGTTGCTTAATAGATGGTTCTTGGCAAGATTGGTTTCAAGGTCATGTGCAGCCCTTCTGTCCACATTACTCAAAGTACTTTCACCACCAGGGCCGGCCCATCTGTATTAAAAAAAAGTGAAAATTGGGGGTGAGTCCCCCTAGATGTATTTGTTTGGAGATAAGTTCGGTAAGAGAACTTATAAGGAGTTAAGTCCATCTTTAAAATTATATTTATCGACTTAAGTCCACTTTTTTTTTTATCTCAAAAATACCCTTAACGATATTAACTTTGGTCAATTATGGAAAGCCCTAAATTAAATGGTTGAGATATATATGGTAATAAACTGATCACTTTCTTATGGAAACCGTATATATCAATATATTATGTTTGAATTACATTAAAATCAGTGGTCTGTTACTCAATTTCAGATCAGAAGATTCCATTAAAAATTCAAATTCAAAATCCCAAGCAAGCGTAATTTGTGTGTCTGTTATACTATTTGAGTAACAGACTTCTACGTTTGATATGGAGGCCTGAAGGTGATACAAGCAGCATCTGGATTCCATTTTTTTTTGTGATTATACTTCAACTTGCTGATTCTTGATTCCACTTTGTGTTGAAACATTATTATTTGCTGAGACATTTTCATTGTAATTTGCTGATTTACATAATATGAATAACAGTACTGTTTTGAATAGTTTTAGCGTTAATTGGTAGTCATTTGCCAAAAATTCTATGTTACTTACCAGAGTTTCATATTGCAATATTTTGTCATCGGAGTTATTGTTGGTGTTTTTTTAGGAATTAGAATTGATTTTTTTTTTCCTTTGTTATTGTCGAAATTCAATGTCATTTTTCGGTATTCATATCACGACATTCTTTACTAGAGTTATTTTTTTTTTGTTTTGAAATTAGGTTTTAATT